GATCTAGGGTGGGAGCTTGGTGGCCGCGGCCGGTCCCTTGTCTGGGCCGTGACCCCCGCCCTCCCTCCCCCAGGACCACATCCACCGCAACCTGCTGAACCGCGTGGAGGCGGAGCGCGCGGCGCTGCAGGAGAAGCTGCAGTACTTGGCGGCGCAGAACAAGGGACTGCAGACGCAGCTCAGCGAGAGCCGCCGCAAGCAGGCTGAGGCCGAGTGCAAGGTGCCGCCCGCCCGTGGGACTCGCCCCGGGGACCCGCCCCGCGGACCTGCCTCGCGGACCCTGACCGCCCTTTCCCTCGCCCTCCAGAGCAAGGAGGAGGTGATGGCCGTGCGCCTGCGGGAGGCGGACAGCATGGCGGCGGTGGCCGAAATGCGGCAGCGCATCGCGGAGCTGGAGATCCAGGTGAGCGGCGGGAAGCGTGGGTGGGGGGCGGGCCCCAGGGCTGGGCCCTGCCCTGACCCGGGTGACCCGGCTGCCCGCAGAGGGAGGAGGGCCGCATCCAGGGCCAACTGAACCACTCGGACTCCTCGCAGTACATCCGCGAGCTCAAGGACCAGATCGAGGAGCTGAAGGCCGAGGTGAGCGCGAGGCGGGTGTTCGGCGCTGGCGCCGGGCGCCGGGCGGCTGGCCCCTGGGCGAGCCCTTGGTGTCCTCGGCCTCCGTGGGTCCGGCAGTCCACGCCTCAGGCGCGCGCGTCCCCCGCCCAGGTGCGGCTGCTGAAGGGCCCCCCGCCCTTCGAGGACCCGCTGGCCTTTGACGGGCTCAGCCTGGCGCGGCACCTGGACGAGGACTCGCTGCCGTCGTCAGACGAGGAGCTGCTCAGCGTGGGCATGGGCGCCGCGCTGCAGGACGCGCTCTACCCGCTGTCCCCGCGCGACGCACGCTTCTTCCGCCATCTGGAGCGGCCCGCCAAGGACAGCGAGGGCAGCTCGGACAGCGACGCTGACGAGCTGGCCGCGCCCTATAGCCAGGGCCTGGACAACTGAGGCCGCACCCCCGCCAGCCCAGAGCCAGGAGCCAGGGGACTGTCGCGGTCGGGGGCAGCCAGGTCCTCGCTGCCCACGCCTCCGGCCGGCGGTGCCAAACCACGCCCGCATCTGGGGCCAGGTGCGGCAGGGCGCAGAGGGCGGGGCTGAGCCGCGCGGGGTCCTCAGGATTCCCTGGCATCCCCCCTCCCCAGCAGTGTTTACCCATCTTGGTCTGCACCCCTCCGGGACCTCCTACGTCCCGGCGGTGCCTGGGCCAGTCACCAGCGAGGGCAGGAAGTGACCCAGTGGTCCCAGGACTGGACGAGCTCGAAGCTCCCTTCCCCAACAGGCCTCCTTCTGGGACAAGGGTGGCCCTGCTGGGAAGAGCCCAGGAGCTGGAGGGACCCGAGGCAGGAGGGGCACCTCTGGGCTGGATGCTGCTCACCACCATCAGATGCCCCTCGGTACACAAGGACCCTTGACCAGCCCCTGGCCGCTGGGGACAGATGGCCGGCTGGGCTTTCCTGCCTGGTGCAGGCGTCCTGGCCCCTGCAGCAGAAACCAAAGTCCCCCTTACTGTGTACAGGGCCACCTGGGGTGTGAGCGGCCAGGGGGAGCCAGGCTAGGCCTGGGCAGTGTCTGTCGCTGTTTAGGGGTTGGGGGGCCAGAGCGGCTGCGTGGAAGTGAAGAAGCCCCTCCCCTCGCCCCACCCTTTTCTGTGAGACACTCCCATCACCCAGTTCTTTGCCAGTGATGAAGGAGGGCCCTGTCAGGGCTAGCCTCTCCAGGGGGTCCTCACCTCCAATTCACTTCCTTCCCTTTGCCCCCAGCCCCCCACCTCAGGTCAGGGCCAGGCCCCAGGTGAGGTTTCCCAGTGGAGCCGCCTCCCCCGCGCGGCCTCGTGGTGGTCCCGTGGTCTCTGCTGAGTCAGAGCTGAGAACGGTGCCAAAGTCCAACTCCGCCCCTAGACCCCCCACCCCCACCCCGGGCCTCGGACGGACCTTCGGGGCTGATCCTGGTGCTCCTGGAGCCTCGAGTCGCGTCACAAGCAATCTCCCTGGCGCTTCTGGGGTAGGGATCCATGCTCAGTCCCCCCTTCCCGGTCGCCCACTCCTCAGTATTAAAGCCTGGGGACACTGCCCACCACCATTTTGCACACTGCCTGTTCACACTCCACATGTCGCCCAGGCGGGAAAGATGGAAAATAAAGTGTATTTACATGGTCGTGGATGAGGGGTGCTGAGTAGGGCAGGCCTGGGGTGAGGGGACCACAGCAGCGGAGGGCCGGGGCGGGGGCGGTTGTAGGGTGTCCTTGCAGTGCCTTAGAGTCGGGGATTGAGTCACAGCATTAGGGCCACAAGCTGCTGGGGAGGGTGTGAGCAGAGGTGCTGGGTCTAAGTTAGTATTGGGGAAAATGGGCGACAGAAGGCCAGACTGAGAAACGGCACGTTTACAGCATTTTTGGAAGGGTGGCTTTGGAGATGGCAAGGACTGGAGGGGGGGTCATGATTTTCCACCCAGGTGACTCAACTTGGGTCTCCCCCAAGAGATAATGGAGGAGACACACCAGGGTGGCGGTGTGTGTTAAATGTCCAATAGACAAATGTGCAGAGAAGCCAGGGAAGGCTTCCTGGAGGAAGTGGTGCCAGACCCATCTCCAAGGGCAAAAGCATAAGGGTGAGACATGACAGGGACCAGCAAGAAGCCTATGAAGGAGGGACAGGAGAGAGTGGGCAGGGCCAGACCTGGAGGGATCACTGAAGCCAGGAGCAAGAGTTGGCACCTTGAGGGCAATGGGGAGCCGTGGTGGGAGTAGGTGAGGGGGCACCATCAGAGGGAGCACAGGGCTGGGGCTAGTGAGGAGGCGGGTGCAGACCAAGCTGGGACAGTGAGTGGGAACTCCCGCTGGGGGCAGTGGGGGTGCTGGAGAGGCAGAGTTCTTTGCAGGGTCCCTCATGGAGTGTGTGGGAGAGCTGGGGATGGCAAAGGAAGCTGGGGTCAAGGCAGATGCAACAGGCCCTGCCCTCTACACCCACTGTGGGCAATGCCCCACCACCACCACTGCCTGACACCTGCTGAGCAACAAAGGACAGCCACGTCCCATGTACTGTCCCAGCACACTCAGCTCCTGTGGGCTCAGGCACCAGTCCCAGAAGGCAGAGTTTAACACTGAGACTGAGCCATTGTCCATCTCTCCTGCTCCCACAGGATAACTCCACTCTGCTGGCCCCCAGGATGGGGCAGGACCTAGGGGAGTCATCCCAGACTCTGCCCTGCTCCTCACTGGGGCTGTCCCCTGGCCTTGAGGCCCTGGCTGCCTGGTGTGTCGGGGTCAGCCCCTCCCCTTGGGCTTGTCTTGGCGTCTGGAACCCAGGACACCTGGTCCTCACTGGAGCCGGGCTGGAGAGGAAAACGTCAATGGTTTGCCGCAGAACCTGAAGTTTGAGAACATGCTGGGCCCCCAACTGACTCCCAGGAGTGCAAGTGGCAGTGCCCGTCAGGGACAGGACAGCTTTCTCCTGGGACCCCAGGCTGGGAAGTGGCCATGTCTGGGGGGAGGGCAGGCTGAACTTGGTGGTCTGTGCCTGACAGAAATCTGGCCGCAGGGTGAACTATGGGGACTGGGTCCCGGGAGACAGGGCTTACAGTCCACCATGAGTCCTGCTCTTTTATCTTTTTACCTGCCAGCACTGGGGGTTGGCGTCCCTACCTTGCCTCCATCATTCCAGGTGCAAAACAGGACTCTCAGGGGTGAGTTTGCTGCAGGGGCACTTGGGCAGAGGGAGCCCCTGGCAAGGGCTTGAGGGGCACAACAGTGGGGGTGACTGGGCTGGTGAAGGACAAGGGATTCTGATTGGGGCAGGCAGGTGAAAACATTGTTTGGGGGCCTGGTGAGGATGCCTGAGATGGTGAACAGGGCAAGAATGCCAGGGGTGGAGATGGAACCAGAGCCCCCCAAGGACTCCTGATTGTGAACACTAACGAGGTCACCTGGTTGGAGGGGCCTGAAGAGGACAACCTGAGTTGGGTGAGGATCATGGGTTTGGGTGATGACAAACGGAGAGGAGGGGCAATGTGAGGACTCCCTGGTCTCCCACCCAGCCTTGGAAGAGGCTGCTTCTTCCCTACAGCCCTTCCTGGGGCAGTGGGCCGAACGCCGGCAGAGCCAGGCCGAGGAGTCTCTTGTCCCGCAGAGGCTCTCCGGCCCAGCTCCCGGCCTGCCTCCTGCACGGCGACCTCCTTGGTGCGCCCAGGGTTGGGAAGGTACCGGGAGGAAAACAGGGGGGCACAGAGCTCAGCCGACACCTCCTTCCCTCCTCTCCCGCACTGGGCTCCCACCTCCAGCCCCGACCCCAGCCGTTCTCACACCCAGAGCAGCGCCCCAGGGCGCACAACGTAAGTGGGGTGCGCACTGTGAGAGGAGACCGTGGTAAATGATTCCGTGCCCTCCCAGAAGCATCAGTTCCCCTGCGCCATGCTGTGGTCGCATGTTCACGAGCCCAACCACTTGGGCCGTTTCAGCGCCAAGAGTTGTCACCAGAAGCCGGACATGAAGAAGCACATGTTCTCGCACATGGATGGGAGCGACGCGCGGGACTACGAACACTGCAATGCCCCGCCTCGCACATCCCTTTTATCCCGCAGGAGAAAGATCTTCAGTCAGAGCTCCGACCTGCTCACGCCCAGCGGCCAGCAAGGCCAGGCCCGAGCCCACGCCGCCGCAGCACCCGAGGCGACGGAGAGTTCTCAGCTTACCGACTTTATTGCAAACTCAGGCTGCCTGGGAGAGAATACACCGGGCACGGGGCGGGGCAAGAGGGCGCGGGGCGTGTCCTAAGCCAAGGGGGCGGAGCTAGAGGGGAGAACCTGGGCCAAAAGAGTAGGGGTCTGGGAGGCTGAGGTCAATGGAACAGGGTCCTAGAGAGTAGGAACCGGGACCTAGGGTGTAGGGGTAGGATCTAAAACAGAGGAGTGACAGGGGGCGGTTCCTAAGGCAGGGCTAGGTGTGGAAGGCTGGGCCAGAATCTGTCTCAGTGAAAGGTCTCCACCTCCACCACCGTCCAGTCACCCTGCGGGGAGGCCACGTCGTCCGGGGAGAAGCTGGTGACCGAGGTGATGCTAGCACGGGACTCGTCCAGTGGAGACAGCAGCTCGGCCCAGCGGCCCAGCTCGGCATCGCTGAGTGCAGACCGGGCGCCCCCAGCGCCACCGCCCCCGCCCGCGCCCCCTGCTTCCCTGCCGCCGCCTCCCGTCGCCCCCTCAGCCGCCGCCAGCAGCAGCGTCCGGCTCAGCAGGTGCTGCACGACGCTCGCCTGCAGCGCCCCCAGCGGCAGCTCGCCCAGGCGCGCCGGCTTCGGGCCCCGCGGGGTTGCCCCGGTCCCCGCCGCCGCCGCAGCCACCGCCTTCCCAGCGCCCGCGCCGGGCCCAGGATCCAGAGAGCCGGGAGCTGGGGGCACCGCCTCAGGCCCTTCAGCCTCGTAGATGGTGCACAGACCGTCAGCGGAGCCGGGCCCGGCAGTGGGCGGCCACGGCAAGGGCGCTCCTGTGGGGAGAGGGGCCGTCCAGGCTCAAAGAAAGCCCCACCCAGCCACGAAACCACGCCTATTTTATCAGATGCCCCGCCCCGAGCCACGAAGCCCCGCCCTTCAACATCCACAGCCCACAGCTCTGTCCTGGCCCGGCCAGGTCGGGAGGGTAGCTCACCTGGGGCTCCACGGACGGTCAGCGGCGGGGCGGGGCTTTGGCTCCAGGCGGCCGGGTGGCAGGCGGCGAGCTCCGCTTCGGCGGGCGGGGAGGCCGCGGCGCCGCCCTCAGGCCCGCTGTCGTAGCCGCGCAGCTCCTCGGGCGTGCTGGTGGCACTGCTGCTGTGGCCTGCCAAGTCCGGGCCGCTCAGCGTACTGGATGGGCTGCGCGAGGGTGGTGGCGGTGGGGCCGGAGCCAGCGCCAGGGTCAGCCGTGGGCCCGGGATCGGGGCATCGGGACCCGGGGTCGGGGGTCGGCGAGGGGGCAGCAGAGGAGGTGAGGCGGGGGGAGAGGAAGG